ATCATGTCACGAAAGCATCACCGTCAAGCTTCCTGCAAGTGATTACTGCACCAAGGGGTTACGAAAGAATCTCTGGACTCCAGGAGTTGCTTTGCTGCAGTGCTCAAGACAGAACCACATGCAGCTTGCTCAGGGAGGAATGCCTGCCCCTGTGGACACACTGTGCACTGAAGACAAAAAGCTAATGCAAGCTCCACAGTCAAAACACACAAGTATATGCAAAGCCCACATTGCCCAATCTGTTCACAAGCCACTGCCATTCCTCAAAAACCCAACAGCCACACGTCCCAGCACCTCCAGCTGACTAGAAACACTTCTCTCCTTGTGCAATTACATAAGCCCATAAGATAAACAACAGCCTGTTTTTATTAAAAATTTTTTTGATATTTTTGGTCATCAGGGGCTTTTTTCCATAACATCGAATTTTTAAAAAATATTGCACCAAAATATCTACTTTGACCATAGAGTTTCTGGGTGGCCCCTTACATTTTCTGCAACACTCGCCTCAGCTAACCCTGGTCTTGGGGAAGAATCATGACCTCCACAGTTTATTCACAAATGGCTCGTTTAAAATGATTTGTATAGGGGTGCCTGGGTGGCTCAGTAGGTTAAGCGTCTGGCTGTAGATTGCGGCTCGGGTTGTGATTTCGGGGTCGTGATCTCAGGGTCATGATCTCATGGGATCAAGCCTATATTGGGCTCTGTGCCCAGTGGGGTCTGCTTGAGATTCCTTCTCTCAAAAACAAATCAATCTTTAAAAAAAATTATTGGTATATGTATTCATTATACATGGCTTATGTACACACGTGTTCTACAGGCATGTGCACACACATGCATACATGTGTACATATAGATGCATGAGTGCATGCACACAGATAAGCAAATGTGGCAAAATGCTAAAAATGGGTGAACTGAGCTGATGGGTATCTGAATGTTCATGGTATTATTCTTGTCATTTTTCTGTAAGCTGGGAAAGTTTCCAAACAACAGCGGCAGGGGGAAACATACTACATAAAAATTAAAATCCCTAGCAAGCTGTTTGTCCACCATTCCTCCCTCCCCATGCCAGCTCCAGGCACATCAACACGAACCACCGTGAGCACTGTTACTGAGAAAGATATCATCTGTAAACCTCAGGTTTCTTTGACAAGGCGATATTAGAAATATCAGGGAAGAGAATCACTTTGGGAGAAACCGTTCCTTAATAAAGGACACAGAAAAAACAGATGTTGAATGATATACCTAAACTTTTAAATACTTTAAGGGATGTCAAAAGAGTTGAGGCGTAAGTCTTCAAATAAAACAGGCAAGTTTCCTTTTTTAAAATAATGACTCAAGGCAGATGAGGGATATAGTCAGATAAATGATGGATGGACAGATAGAGGAGAGACAGACGCAGGGTACAGAGACTGATGTATTAGGTGTCTCTGTAGAGAGACACGTGGTACCTGGATAGGTAATACTGCATGTTCGTGTGGTTACAAAAATACTTTTCCCTGAAAGTGATTTATTGTGTAATATTTCAATTATTTTTAACTATTACTTTAAATAGTTTTTTTAATCAGTAGATAACTCTTTTGAACATCTAAGAAATACTTCAAACATTTAAAAAGATTTATTAAAAATGGAAGTACATTAGCAGTATTTGCAACAGTAAGAAATTAGAAGTAATCTAAGTATTCCAACAATATAGAAGTAGCTAAGAGATAGAAGGCAACCATTTAAGAGGATAGAGTCAAAGGGTTTGAAACTGGGAAAATCATTACAGTATGGTGTGGGGGTAAGGCAAGAATCAAAAATACTTTTACGACAGGATCATGACGTTAAACCAAGCAAAGAAAGCAAAACAAAACAAAAAACATGATATTCTGAAAAAAGTCACTAAAATTTCACGGTAAAGGGGCGCCTGGGTGGCTCAGTGGGTTAGGCCGCTGCCTTCGGCTCAGGTCGTGATCTCAGAGTCCTGGGATCGAGCCCCGCATCGGGCTCTCTGCTCTCTAGGGGAGCCTGCTTCCTCCTCTCTCTCTGCCTGCTTCCTCCTCTCTCTCTGCCTGCTTGTGATCTCTCTGTCAAATAAATAAATAAAATCTTTAAAAAAAAAAAAAAATTTCACGGTAAAAATAAACTAATAAATTTTAGACACCTGCCCAAGGAGTTCTTTCACAAATCAGTCACCCTGCCAGGGACCTTGCCTAATCACCTTACCTAAAACAATAGCTGTCATCATCACTCTTTACCCCAATATGCTTTATTTTTCTTATCACTTTTCTGACAGGATGATACATATGGGTGTATGTTAAGAACCCCCTAAAGCAAGCAATATTATAGTGTATAAACCTGAAGATTCCATCTGATGGTCTAGAATTAGAAAATATAAAGATCACCTCATGTGCAATCTCTGTATTTGTAAATTATAAAACATGGCAGCAGCCCCAAGATACAGGGATCTGGACCTGTTCTGCATCCACATCCTTCTGGAATCAGAAGGATAGTTCTGGTAAGTGGTCTCTTGGGGCTCAGTTTGGAATTAAAGTGCCCCCTGCCCCTCCACACACATGCAAAACACACTTACCAGAGCTGGGAGGTCCATACAAGTGATTGGTGAAATTCATGGTCTGCAGTTTCAGCAAGTGGATGGAACAGCAGGATCCTCAATTCCTTGGAGCCACAGACAGAAGGAATATCCTAGGACATCCTGGGGCTTAACACAGAGCTCAGACATTGAACAAGATGCAAGTTGATAAAAAAAAAAAAAAAGTACTCAGGAGAACGCTTTAAAGATAGAAAGCCTCCAATTCCTGAATGTTCTATGATACATATTTTAATTACTGAATATATATGATATGTATTTTAATTTAACAGTATTTTCTTTTAAAGTTTCTGCCTTTGATATTGGGCTTAGAAAACACCTTCCCTTCCGTCTACATTTTCTTCTAATATTTGAGAGTATTTGAAATTTTCTCACATTTTCCAAAAAACCAAGATTTGTTTTTGGAATGTGATGTTAAATAGGAATTTAAAATAATTTAATCTTTTTTCCCTAGGTAGTTAACTAATTAACTTACTTGATATTCCAAAGTTGTGAAAATTGAAAAAAAGATCTTGAACAGTACTAACAGAAATATGCTAGCCATACCTATAATTTAAAATTGTATGGGAATCACATTAAAAAAGTAAAAAGAAGTGGAATTAATTTTCATGATGAATTTTATTTAACCTAACATATTCAAAATATTATCATTTCAATGTGCAATCAACATCAAAATTATTACTATTTTACATGTTTTGTACTGAATCTTTAAAACACGGTATGCTTTTTTATACTACAGCACGTCTCAATTCAGCCTAGCCACATTTCAGCTGCTCAAAAGCGTCATGTGGCTTGTGGCTTCTGTATCAAATAGCCCAAGATTATAGCAATGTTTCTCAGTCTCACAACTCTGACATTTTGGACTGATAATTCTTTGCTGCATGGCTGCCCTGTGCATAGTAGGATGATTAGCTGCCTCTCTGACCTCCAGCCACTAGATGTCAGTAGCACCCCTCCCTCAGTTGTGGCAACTAAAAATGTCTAAACTTTGCCAAATGTCCCCCCGGGGGTTGGGGGGAGGCGGGGGTAAGAAGGAAGGACAAAATTGTCCCCAGTTGAGAATCAAAGGGCTAGAAATACTGGGGAGAAAATACATGTTTGGAACAAACCTTAGGAACATTTGAGAAAAAAAATTTTCTTCTTAGAAGCTAATATTAACTATACTCACTGAACCATGACAGAAGTACTTACAACAATTAAAAGTCTATCCAGGTTCCAAGTTCCAAATTCACAAAAAGGAGGAGGAGATAAAGAAAGGCTAGCAGTGGGAAAAGCAGAAGGGGAAGGAGTGGAAAAAAAGAAAAAGAGAGGGGGAGGGGAAGGCTGTGTTTTCTATTATAATCGTCATGCTTCTTTGGGGCCCAGACTCACAGAAATAATATTGACCCAGCATTGAGCCCATCTTAGTGACAGTCATTAACATGTCAGAGAAAAACCTTGAGGCTCTTGACTTTGAAAATAAGCTGATGGATGCTTGGGCTGCAATAGGCATCAAACAGGGCCTGGGGGTTCAGCTAGTTGGGAGCCCCCAGTGTTGCTCGAGCCTATAACTGTTTCCTGGGTGCTTTGGTGGCTCAGTTGTTAAGCATCTGCCTTTGGCTCAGGTTGTGGTCCCAGGGTCCTGGGATCGAGCCCATATCAAGCTCCCTGCTCTGTAGGAGTCCTGCTTCTCCTTCTCCCACTCCCCCTGCTTGTGTTCTCTCTCTTGCTGTCAAACAAACAAACAAACAAACAAACAAGAACTGTTTCCTTCAAAGAACAGCATTTAATATCAAAAGTGATGAGCAATAGACCCCAACTTCTGGGTGAGCTAATCTCTTCCAACATCTCCCTTATCAACCAGGACCTCAGTAACTGGAAGTTTCCATTAACTGTGATGTTTTTAATGTATTCAGCGTGTGTGTGTGTGTGTGTGTGTGTGCGTGTGTGTATGTGTGTGTGTGTATAAATAGCAAGGAAATCAAAACTATAGCAGAGGTTTATTCACAGAAGCAAAGAAAGAAAGGGGAAAGAGGGAGGAAATAAGTCAGGAACACATCTTAAAATACTTAACTCATCACAATCTTATTCGCCCAGATTTACATGTGTCTGTATGATGTTCAGAATATTGACCCTTAGATAATTAAAGATCATGAATCTTCAAACATAGATTATTTTCACTTTCCTTCACAGATTTTTAAAGTTTCTTAACAACAAGGGCTAAAGACAAAAAGGCTCTGTGTTGGTTGCCCCTTGGTTAATGGGGAGTTTCCACTCCTCAAGGGTTCTGGTCTATCAGGGACCTACACTAACTGACTTAGCTCATCCGAAGATAGTCAGAGTCTAGTGGTTGGGCATCTACTCTAGGTACCCTGGGTACAGCAGGCAACAACCTCCTTATTTCCAGGTATCTTTCCCCAGCCAGCTGGGACTACTGGTAGAGCAGGAATCTTTCCAGCAGCTCTGGCAGATGGAGTTCACGGATGGTTTGATGACATGCTCGACCCAAGCACTTCCGGACACACAGGCGGCAGAGCTGAGAAAGAGCCGGTGGGCCTGGGGAAGAAATTAAAATGTGTGAAGCTCCTAGTGGTGGGGGTGGGGGACACGGGGAGACCAGAGAACTGGAAGAGGCTGAAATGTTCTGCCAGCTTAAGAGAGGCTGGATCTGTACATGGATTACAGAGTGACAGAGCAGACACTAATACACACAGGGACCCCAGTTTGCCCCCCCCAAGGTTGGGGACACATTTAAGCTGACCCTCTAAAGGTAATTGTATTAGTGACACTGAAGACTGGGGCTAAGCAGAGGCAATCCAGGAATGAAGCATGAGGTCTAAAGGGACTGCATTTCATGTCACAGTAGCCAAACTGTGGAAAGAGCCCAGATGTCCACCAGTGGAGGAATGGATAAAGAAGATGTGGTGTATACATACAATGGAATGTTACTCAGCCATCCGAAAGAAGGAATCTTGTCATTTCCAACGACATGGGTGGAACTAGAGGGTATTATGCTTAGGGAAATAAGTCCATCAGAGAAAGACAAAACCATACGATTTCACTCATGTGCAATTTAAGAAACAAAACAGATGAACAAAGGGGAAGGGAAAGAAAAATAAAATAAGATGAAACCAGAGAGGGAGGCAAACCATAGAGACTCTTAACTATAAGGAACAAATTGAGGGTTGCTGCAGGGGAGGTGGGTGGGGGGATGGGGTAACTGGGGGATGGGCATTGAGGAGGGCATGGGATGTAATGAGCACTGGGTGTTCTATGCAACTGATGAATCACTTAACTCTACCTCTAAAATGAATAATACACTATGTGTTAATTAAATTGAATTTCAATTAAAAATTTGAAAAATAAATAAAGGGAATGCACTCCATTCATGCACTATATGTGCCAATGAATGTGTTAATGCTGGCCAAGGAGAAAACCTGAATAGAGGCACTCAGCAGGCAGGAGCCCGAGACAGAGCTGCCAAGCAAGGGCTAAGTGCCGAGTGGGTGTTGGGGCCTGTGTGGTCACAGAGGCCTCCAGGACCTCCTGGCTCAGGCCGCTCACAAGGTGGTGCTGTTAGGTGCCAAGTCCTACTAGGAGAGGCCCTCCATTTGCGCCAGGCTCCCAGCTCAATAGAGGACCTAGCGAACGGACTCAACTTGCTTAACCCCCATTATGCCCAGGACCTCAGTCTCAAGGAGGTTCATGGAGTCATCACACCCATGGCTTTGAGTGGCTGAAGGAAAGTAATGAGAGCCAAAATATGGTTGAGTAGGACAAAGGAGATTTAGGCTGGAATACTAGTTATACCAAGGTATTTGTAACGTCCCATTATTCCCTGACCTGAATGTACTGGTAAAGATCTCTTCAGATAGACCTGTGTGGTTAGCGGACGATACAAGGTTGTCCTTGTCAAGAAGATCCTACTGTACCAGGATCTCACACCCCACGAGAAATGGCGTACTGCATATGCAAATGACTAGATCACGTTTGATCTGATGTTTCTAAGGATCAGCCATGTGATAGAAAGAGCAAATAATTGCTCTCAGTTAAAATCTTGGGCAGCAAGAATGGAAAGCCTCTCTACCCGTCACCCAACTAAAGCTCCTCTGGAAAACAGTAATGCAGACGGATTGTCCCGTTTGCCTATAGGAGCTCAGATACCAGAGTGACTTCTGACGGAGCTGGTGCTCATCCTTCCAGAGGAAGCCACTGTATTTTTGACAACAGAAGATAGAAGAACCCGCTTAGAAGAAATCTAAATCCTCGACCTGGAAACATTTTTGATAGAAGAAAAGAGGAGATATGACAGGTGCTATAGGACATCTTCTCAGCTGAGAGTTGGGAAGGGACCTGGCATTTCCAAACGGGGAGCTGGAAAGGAAGATCGTGATTCTTCAAGTGGAGGTTCAACTAAAAGAGTGATCACGAATGATCTAGACTACCGGAGATCATCTAGACCAGCAGTACTCCAAGCAAGGCCTCAGACCAGGGGTAGCAACAGCATCACCTGGGAACCCGGTGGGTGTGCCGAGTCTAGACCCCAACGCAGACCTCCTGGATCCAAATCTGCATTTTAATGAGACACCCCCCCCCCTTGGTGATTCGTACTCACAGCAGAACTCAGGAAGCACGGACCTCAAAAGTATGCCTAAAATTATTCAACCAAGCATTCCACTTGGAAGGTGTTAGAAGACGAGATGATTTCCTAAATGGGAACTGGTGAGTAAAGTAAAAACCGTCTCCCCCAGAAACTATTTCAGAAGGTTCAGGATAGGACCGGCATGACATAAGAGTGCGTGTTCTGAGGTCGAATCCTAGTTCTTCCAAGGAGTCACACAGCCTTCGGCAAGCCAGTGTCTTCAGATTTCTCTTTTCCCGTCTGGAACTGGGCTACCACCAGTTACTCGAAAGTTCTCCCTGCTTTCAAGTTTTCACAACTCAGGGAGATTCATCTAGGTTTCCAATTTAGCTCAGTGCATGACATATGCATAAAGCTGAATAATTACTATTATTTCTTAAGAGTCTCCCAGGCACACAAATGATCAGGACAGGCTCAGGTGAAGTTCTCTTTCTGTGTGGACTTCGCTTGGCTCACTTCTGAATCTGAAACGCAGCGCACTTTAGAGATTTGCCTTCTCTCCTCTGGTATCCGTAGCTCCATCAGCTCGTGGTGGAAATGGGAGCAAGGCAATGGAGGGCTCAGAGCCACGTACTCCCTGAGATGGAGAAACAGATCAGGCAAGCAACTTTGCCGTCTAGGCCGGTGTCTGAAATACACACTCTGTGTCCACCCTACAGCCTCTAGCTCAAGTACTGCTAATTCCCCCGAATACAGCAAAGCAGACTTCTGGTCTACACAGTTGTGCACTTAGACCAGGACAGATGTGGCAGCTCAACCTCCTCATGGTGAAAACCAAGTTCTTGGATTCTTTTCTCCTTATGGAAAATACACAGTGACATACTAGCCATGTATAAAGGCCATTCTGTGATAAGTGAACAGACAAAACCTATAAGATCTCACCCCAGCGACGCAAGTGAGACCCACTGCCTACCACATGCTACTTGTAATCAAATCAAGAGAAGAACAAAGGTAGGGAAGTCTGGAGGTGAGACAGGAAGGAGAGAGAGCCAATATGCTTATGGAGGAGAAGTGGACACCCAGCCCGTTCCTTACCCTCCCGGAGCAGGAGTGCTTGCTCCACGCTGCTGTTGGGAGTGGCCAGATCCAGCGCGCTTTTGCCCTCTGCGTTTCTGCACTTTAGGGGGGCCCCGTAGTCGGCCAGGAGGTGGATGACCTCCGCGCTGGACCGCCTCGCTGCCGCGTGCAGGGGAGTGTCCAGACGTTGGCCGCGGTCCACACTGGCTCCTGAAGAGAGCAGATGATCACAAGCCAACATAAAACCTTACCATGGGAACACCAAGAGTCGAAAATACAGTAGCTCAGATCAAGGCATCTGATTTGTCATGACGTGTTTGACAGATCTTTGAAAATATATGACATATGCCGAGAACCTCAGCCACAGCTACTCAGACCACCTAAAACTATTTTGATGAGAAAAGTGAAGAAAGGTAATTTTAGTCATTTAGAATACGTCACTTGCTTTCCCGTATGAACTGTGTGACAAGTACAATTAAATATTTGCATCTCCTTTTACACAGAATTATTATTTTGGTTTTTGGCAAAGGGTAAAGTGAAGTTTCTTTGGTATTTCTCTTATTCTGGGCTCAAAAAAAAAAAGATTTCTGAATTACTACAGGGAGTAGTAACTGATGGGGGATGAAAAAGAGAAAAAAATATCTTAGAGATAAAAATTCTTATTTAAAGGTCCATAGTACAGACTCTACCTTTATGTCAGTAGCTAAGTTTGGAGAACCTTTAACCAAGTAATACTTCAAAACACTCTACTTTTTCCTGGACTCTCAGTTTCTATTATGCCTTTTAGAATTAAAAGCTTACTAAGGGGGCAGGTGGGTGACTCAGTCAGGTAAGTGTCCGACTCTTGATTTCAGCTCAGGTCATGATCTCAGGGTCGTGAGATCGAGCCCTGCATTGGGCTCCATGCTCAGCACGGAATCTGCTTGGGATTCTCTCTCCCTCTCCCTCTGCCCCTCCCCTCATGCTCACTGTCTCTCTCTCTCTCTAAAATACATTTTAAAATCTTTTTAAAAAAATAATTTAAAAAAAATTAAAAGGTTACTAAGGATCTTAGCAGGATTGATCTAAAGGAGTCAATGGCAAATGTCTGTTATTTTTGCTATCTGGCATCTTCCTAATAACCACACCTAGATTTCCCTCTGGGGAAGCATCGCTTGTGATTCCCAATTCATGTGCTTCCAGTGAAACCCAACAACTTCAGTCTAGACTGAAATTTAGGCCTAAGCCAATCAGCGCATTGTACTCCTCTGGCCACCATGATTGGCTCAGAGATGGGCATGTGACTCAAAAAGAGCCAATGAAATAAAATTGTTTTTTCCCACTAGGACTTATGGGAAAGAAACTCTAATTCTCTCTTGAAACCACCAAGGACAACCATAGCAGGTAAATGGAGCCAATATCAAAGGAAGTAGATACTCATTTCTCTAAAAGTTCTGTGATTTCAAGCATTCAGACATCAAATACTGTCAGGATTTTGTCCAGCCTGACAAGAACTTTGTCTTTAAAGCCATGGGAAACCAACAAAGAGGTTCCTCTCATAAAAAAACTTTCTGGAAGTTACCTAATTCTAGAAGTTTCTTCACACAGTCTACCCTCTGGTAGGTGCAGGCCACATACAAGGGAGTTCCAAGCTGAGGCAGTTCTTGGTCAATGTTAACGTTATTTGCCAGCAGGATCTCCATGCACTCTCTATGACCTGGTGGGGGAAAAAAGATAACCTTACTCAAGTAAGGGAAATATTGACTATTTATAGAACTATAGAATTGCTTATCTGGAATGGGCTTTAGAAATAACCTAGATTTTTTTTTTAAGCAGAAAAAAAAATTGGGGGAGGAGGGGAAATCTTAGAAAACTCCAAAATCAAAACCATTAAAAAGAAAAGCATGCTCCTAGTTCCTCACTCAAATTCCCCTTTGCCGCCTTGAGATACCTTCCAACTAGACGAAGGGCTCCAAGGAGCTCAGCTGAAATCACTCTCTGCAATGAAGCCAGTTTATAAATACAGGCTGCAAGGTGCAGGGGGGTGAACGACTCATCCTACTGCCCCCCTGAAAAGCCAGCACTCCAATGCGAGGCCCAGCCCCGATCCCTCTCTGCTACAAGTATCTCACTCTCTGCTTCACCCATGTATGGCCGTCCCTCCTTATTTTGGTTAACCTCGAAGACACCTCTGAGAATAAAAAGCCTTGAATATAGAATATATTTAATTGCACCTTTAAATCCTCAAATATAAGATATATTTAATTGCACTTTCCCATCTGGTGGCTAACAAGAAGTATGTAGACAAGCGTTGTCTTTGGAGAGGCTGCCCAATGAACAGACTTGATTAATTTGCAACATACGAATGATTTGATCAGGAGCAAATACTTCTGAGGAATTGATGGGAGCTTATAAAGAAGTTGTTCTCTTTGAAGATTTAAGTGTTTTCTTAAAAAAACAACTCTTACCATCACTTCACCAATCTTTTCTTTATAACATAAAAGCAAGCTTCATCTCAAACCTGGCTGATTTATCAGAAATGCTAAATTAAGTAGAAATATTCATTAAAATGTACAAATAAGGATCCTATGGATCCAAACTATTTGTTCACATAAGTAAATATTATACTGGGATTATGGCATCAATACGTCAAAGTATGGACTCAGACTGACCTAGTCTGTCCGCAGAGGTTTAAAGAATTCAGAAATAATATGTAATCAGTACCTCAAACTGCCTGGGTATCTAATAAACATTTTAAATAATTCCTGTCCTTTTAATTTTTTCTTTCTTTCTCTTTGCAGAAGAAACTGAGCCTGGTCTGAGTTAAACTCAAGTACTCACAGGAAGTTTTATAAAATTAACATATAAAAGATTAGCCCTAATATCACAGTATCTAAAACAATGAATTTGCTCTTCCTTCTTCCATTCTGTGGATATTGGTCCCCAACATGCTTGTAGATACAGACCAAAAAATACATAGAGACCCATGAATTGATGTGTTTATGATAAGTTTGTATATGTTTTGTAAGTACATAGATACCAAACACTCCCAATATAAAACCATCCATGTACCACAGAATAGCTTCAGTAATTCAAATCATTCCCAATATTAATCCGTTTTTAAATATTTGGATGGAAATGCAACTAACAGATGAATCTTTACTTCAAGTCAACATTAAAAAAATTTTTTTAAGACTTTTAGATCATTTCCAAAGTAGACCATTTCCCTTCAACTTAAAGAATGTACTTGGAGTTTGGGAAATGACCGGCATCAGTTATTTAACCAATAAATGTTTATTAAATATGTATAAGACATGAAAATCATAGATACATTGAGATTTGGGTCTTTTGTTTCATTTAAATTAAACCACAAAGGGGAAAAGAAAAAGACAAAAAGCCAGACTCAAATACAGAGAACACACTGCCAGTTGCCAGAGGGGAACAGGTGAGGGGGACGAAGGGTACACGTGGGATGAGCACGGGGTGGGGAATGGGAGTGTTGGATCACTATATTGGACACCTGAAACGAATATAGCACTGTGCATTAACTATACCTCAACTGTTAAAAAATGGGGAAAAAATAAAAGCACAGAAAAAAAAATAATCCACTGCAAAAGAAAATTACCAAGTGACATGTTTAATAACCCGGGGCAAATCTTTCATTATTGCCTTTGGAAATAAAGACTTTCATCCCCAATTAGACCAGCAAAGATCACTGTTCCACGGTGTTCTAACTTCCCCATTTTATTTCTTATCTCAGTAAAAGAGAATAACTCCACCACTGGGTAACAGAAATGTTGCTTTCTCAGTGTGACCTTTGACAAATGGCCTTGGCCTTTCAGTGACGTCTTCTTGTTCATGTCTAGCCGATGCATGGAGTTTTTAAAGACCTTCATCTTACTCTCTTCCTCTTTTCAAAAGTAACTGAGAATACAGGCGTCTAGAATCAACTTCAAGGTTTCTAAAGACACGCTTTTTAAAGTTGCAACTTTTTTTTCAATAACTAATGACCCTGAAGTCAGCAGCTCATCTAGAAAGAGTATGTTGCTTGTTGTGGACAACTACATTTAATCTTCCATTAAGAATCCGATCAGCCTTGGCTTTCAGACGCTTTCATAATTTATTTTAGTGGTCGAGGTTTTATGGGCTTTGGGAGATGAGCTGATCTCTTCTAGTAAAGACAGAGACATTAGCAAAGTACTGCTCATGGAAGTCACCCCTGCAGCCCTGACCGGGCCAGCTGCTCCCAAAACACCAGCAAAGAGCTTCCAGGAAGGGCTGCCAAGAGACTGACTCCCCAGGACATGCGACGTCTGAGACAAAAACCCATTCCCAGGTCCGAAGAAGGGCGGTTGGATGCCCCAGCAGCATTTCCAGAAGATTCGGGCACTCTGAAGTTGCTGCTCTGGGACCCTAAGCCACACACAGCCTACCAGTGAAGGTCTGGGCATTTCTTGCACGGCGACACGGTACTGCTGACTCCTGCAGTTCGCAGTGAGCCCACCGATGTGGTGTGTGCAACGTGACGGCCCACTTACCTCTCTTCACTGCCTCATGGATGGGTGAGGCCAAGTGCACCTCTGGCTGAGCCTTGGCTCCAAACTCCAGCAGCACGTTGACACACGCAGCACTGCCGCTCCTGCAGGCGTTGAACAGGGGCGTGGCTCCGTGCACCGTCACTCCGTTGACCTAATGGTAAGAAAGAGACCCAGAGAATTTGCCAGTTTTCTCTCTCTGTTTCCAAGCGTGTATTCCTGTGCATCTGCCTGGAGGAATGTCCCAGGTTGGTGAGTGAGCGAGGGCACCCCACATCATTACGGTATTACATTTTTTTAGATATACCAGTAGCCTATCAACTATCACCTCTAAGTAATATCCCAAGTGGCAAAATGGGAGAAAGCTTTTCAAATGTATTCAGGGGTATTCCAGAACTTCTAAGGAGCCTCCTAATCATTGAGGAGTTGTCCTATTGGGTGGTTAAGAACATGGCTTCTGGAATCATTAGCTTGCGTTCAAATCCCAGCACCCTCTCTTCTATCTGTTCAGAGATCTTGGTTGGGATACTAACTTTCTGTGCCTCAGTTTCCTTAAAGGAGGATCATAACAGAATCTACCTCAAGAGGTTATTGGGTGGGTCAAGTGAATTACAACATGTTAAACACTTAGAATGTTGCCTCATGCCCAGTAAGCATATAAGCGTTTGCAACAATTTTCTTCACTTTCCATGAATAAGGGTCTGACTCCACCTCCCAATCATGAACCAACATGGCAGGACCCAAAAAGGCTGGAGAATCCAGGTCCCCAAATCTGTGCCTGAGGAGATTTTTGTTGCCACAGATTTCCTTACTGGTCTACTAGAATTCGTACAAACTACACATGTGGGCAGTGACTCCCAAAGAGATTGTGATCCAGTCAAAGGCACAAAGAAAATAGCCATCAATATGGCGTCTCTAGCCACCCTCATTGCCTTCTAGGGGTGTGGGAGGCATCTTTGAGTATCAGCGATGGATTGGGATGAACATCAGGGAACCAAGACATTCTGGTGGGGAGGCTCTGACAGGACTGAAATGGAGGACAATGAAGGCTTGACGTCAAAGCATTTGCCTCAACAACTGAGGATATATGCTTGTGATAATCAGAACCCTAAATTTCTTGTTTCAGAAATCAGAAAAGGGGGTGCCTGGGTGGCTCAGTGGGTTAAGCCGCTGCCTTCAGCTCAGGTCATGATCCCAGGGTCTTGAGATCAAGCCCCGAGTATGGCTCCCTGCTCAGCAGGTAGTCTGCTTGTCCCTCTCCCCCTGCCCCTCCCCCTACTCATTCTGTCTCTCTCTTTCTCAAATAAATAAATAAATAAAATCTTTAAAAAAAGAAACAATAAAAGATATTTCTCCACAGTGCCAGAGTAGCCCCTGTTAAATTGGAAACTTAAAGAGGAGATGCTAAGGTGGCAGAGACAGGCAAGGACGGGCCAAAATGTGTGTGAATTCATACAGTCTAGGGATTTCTAACCTATTTACACTTTCACCAAAAAACATTCAGTAGGGCTGGTTTCATTTGATTTGTTCTTATGAGAATCATCCTCATCTTCATTCTGAAAGTCTTCAAATTTGATTTCCTAAGTTCCTCAGTTCAGGTCAGCAAACATTTATTGAGCACCTATTAGGCACCAGGGTTTCAGAAGCCAAGGCTAGTAAGAAAATCGCTTTAGATCACCCTTAGAAGCAAGACAAAAGAAAGTACGACTTGAGAAATATTTCGGCAGGAAAAGGAGCAGGATGTGGGCATTAATTAGTGGGGGAGAGAGAAGATCTAGGCTGAGCCCAGGTTTGGAACATGGAAAGCAGGAATGTATGTCCCGGGTCTCTGAGGAGGGGTGATCCCCCAGGGAGGAATATCCTAACCAAAGCTTCAGACGCACTGAGTTTGAGAAAACCACAGGGCTGCCAATTTTGAGGAATTTTCTACTGACTAACCAACTTGCTTTGATTCTTTCTCTCCTTCTGATTTAAATGTTAAAGAATACAATATTTATCGACTCTTCCCTCATAAGATTGCCACAACCAAGGGACTGTGTCTTACTCTCTTCTTTGTCCTCCACAAAACCTCCCAGTGTTGTACCAGCACACACTCCTCTACAATCGGATGTTGTTTGCCCTTTTCCACCGACAGAAGGAAAGGGCCCTCTGGGGTTCCTGGGTGGGGCAGTCAGTGAAGTGTGGGACTCTTGGGTTTTGGCTCAGGTCATGATTTCAGGGTCATGAGATGGCGCCCCACATCAGACTCAGCATGGAGTCTGCTTGGGTTTCTCTCTCTCTGCCCCTCCACCCACCCCAAATGAACAGATACATCAATAAATGAATTTTTTAAAAAGATTTTATTTTTATTGATTTATTTATTTGAGAGAAAGAGAGAGCAAGCCCAAGTAGGGGGAGCAGCAGAGGGAGAGAGGGAGAAGCAGGTTCCCTGCTGAGAAGGGAGACTGATGTGGGGCTTGATCCCCAGAACCCCGGGATCATGACCTGAGCTAAAGGCAGATACTTAACCAACAGTGCCACCCAGGCACCGCTCAATAAATACATCTTAAAGGAAAAAAAAAAAAAAAAAAGGAAGTGGCCCTCACCCAGCCTCACCATCATCGTTATGTGGGATTTGAGTAAGTGGTAACCTGATAAAAATACGTGCTCGCGATGGCATCGGGAGCAATGCTTTGCCCAAGAAAGACTTTCCTATTGAGTTCTACCGTAGAAACCCAACTGCCACATAAAGTGCTAAAGAAAATCTCCCAAAAGCACTTACAAACATTGCAGCTCCAGAAACAAAGAACACAGGCACTGAATTTAAATACCAAAATTAGCAACAAACCGATAGCTTGCAACTAAAGGAACATCCCTGAGATTTTCAGAAGTTTTAATTTTACAATTCTATTGTGATAGCTCATTACACACAGCACCTAAACCCCTCCTTAGCCTTGAACTGAGGCTACGGGGTGATGTGTGGCAACGGTGAATCACCGTATTGCACACCCGAAACTAGGGTAATGCTGTATGTTAACTACACTAGAATTAAAAACGACATAAAAATAAAATAAATCTGCAAAACAAGAAGAGAAATAAGGCTAGAATTTTAAAATAAGATAAAGTTCATTCTGTTGGATTTTTTTTCCCATGTATTTTTTACTAAGAAGCTCACAGGGTGATTTTGCTCAATGAAAATAGTGGGTTTAAGGTGTCGCATTAAGAGTGTTTCTGTTGTTGTTCGTTTAAATTGTGTTCTTTTTCATGTTTCCCAATCCATTTCCCAAGAGCTGTTTTCAAATAACTTCAGTTCCCGTTGATCTTTTGAAATTCACCATCACAACTCTTCAAAGAGTCCTGTGAATTACCTTATCGAATGTTCATCCACAGGCACAGACACTGAAGAGGGGAGGGACCCGCAGTGTGTCACTGGCTCGGGAATGTGCACGCGGACAGGGCCAGACCTGCCTACACCCCCAGGGGGTGCGCTGTCTGGAAGGTAGCATCTCTGTAGACGCTAGCAGGTGCACCTGGGCAGACAGAGCCGCGGGGGCAGGGATGTGGGGGGCGGGGGCAGGGATGTGGGGGGCGGGGGCAGGGGGCGGGGAGAGCGGTACTCACGTGTGCGCCCTTTTCCAATAAGGCTTTTGCACAGGCTACGTGACCTCCAAGGCACGCTTCGTGGAGCGAAGAGACCCGGTTAATGGTCACAAGGTTCACGTTGACACCCTAGAATTTGGAGAGAAGGGGTTAAAGGCTGCATTAGTAATAGCAATGGCAGCCGGTCCTGGGCTGAAGAGGACAGAGTCAAGGAGACAGGGCTCCTAGGATCCCTGTGCCGGAAGCACACTGCGGGGGGCCATGACCCCGCAGCGTGGAGGGGTCTCTGCAGTACCAGCATCTAGGGGCCTGGGGGCTTCCCCCAAACTTCACCTCCTTACCCAGTTCCAGCACATCCCCCTCCTCTTCCTGCCACACTCCACCTTCCTCCTCTCGGAGTCCATGTGACGGATGACAAGATCAGCCTAGCTGGTGGCCAACTCTGACTTCCTGCCCTGATTTTCACAACTCGGTCCTTACCATCCCCGCCCCCCTGAACACCGCTTTCTGTCTGGGAAATGAGTTAGGTCCCTGCCAGTCCTTCCCAGCCAAGTTCTGCTTCTGATTTCCTGCCTCCTCACCTGCCCACTGAAAGCTTCCAAAACCTACTGCGTGACCCTGAACCCCAAACCCCCACCTAAGTTCCCACCGACTCCTGCCAGACTGCCCCCGGTGCCCACAACTGCCCACGACTCCTGCTCCCTTCATCTTAGGGCTTCTCTATGCCTCCTTGGTCCTGTCCCCTCTCGTGTCCTGAATATGATGTCATTACACTAGATCCGTGTTATAGATTTCAAATTAGGTAATTATTACAATTAGAAAAATCTTGCCCTTTTCCTAGATAGGATTTCCTTTTAAGAAAATAAGAAAAACAGGCTCATCCACAAGGTGGCAGCAGCGCACTAGAAAAAAAACTTGCATCCTTGGCAAGGTGTAAGAACCCCTGCATTTGTGCATACATAATGCCTGGGCGCGCCTGAAAGACCATCTAGAGTGAATCCCCTCCACTGTGCATGAGAAAATAGAGAGGCAGAAAGTTCAAATTATTCATAAAACTCAAGGCTTCCCAGGGGTTGATGACAGCCAGATGACTCTGAAAGTCAGGAGCTCCTGATGCCTGGTTTAATGCTTTTCTCCACCCCACTGTACATGAAATAAAGTAAAAAATAAAATAGAATAATACATTTTGCACTAGGGTGTAAGTGTGAAGAAATGGGCATGCGCAGTGAAAAAGCTGAACTTCCTTCTGAAGAACACTCCTCATACATTTAAGCACATTGGTTTACAGAAACCAACGTGCTTATGGAGTGTAGTTAAAAATAGAGAGAGGCGGGGCTGCCTGGGTGGCTCAGTGGGTTAAGCCTCTGCCTTCAGCTCAGGTCATGATCTCAGGGTTCTGGGATCAAGTCCCGTATCAGGCTCTCTGCTAGGCAGGGAGCCTGCTTCCTCCATTCTTTCTCTCTCTCTCTGCTTGCCTCTTTGCCTACTTGTGATCTCTCTCTGTCAAATAAATAAAATCTTAAAAAAAAAAATAGAGAGAGGCGCCTGGGTGGTTCAGTTGGTTAAGCGGCTGCCTTCGGCTCAGATCATGAGCCTGGAGTCTTGGGACTGAGCTCTGCATTGGGATCTCTGTTCAGTGAGGAGTCTGCTTCTCCCTCTGACTGTCTCCCCCTCATGTTCTCTCTCACTCTCTCTCAAATAAATAAGTAAAATCTTTTTAAAAAATAAAATAAAAATGAAGAAGTACTAAAGGCAATGTGGGATCCTGGATTGGAGCCTGGGACAAAAAAAGGACTCTGTGGGAAAACAGGTGTAATTCTAATAGTCTGTAGTTTAGTTAACGCTACTGTACCAATATTATTGTCTTAGTTTTGAGTGAAGTACATGCTTATGTAGGATATTAGCACCAGGGGAAGTTGGGTGAAGGGTGGGAAGTATCTGCACTCTCCTCGCAACTTGTCTTTAAAATTATTCCAAGATTAAAAGTTTATTTTTAAAAAATACTAATGAGGGGCGCCTGGGTGGCTTAGCCAGTTAAGTGTCTGACTCTCGATTTCAGCTCAGGTCTTGATCTCAGCGTCATGAGACCAAGCCCCACGTTGGGCCCCATGCAGGGTGTGGAGCCTACTTAAAAAAAAAAATACTAATAAAAGTGTTGAGGAGGGCCGAGAGGGAGGAGGTGGATGCAAGACTTTTCACCTTTAAGTATCACTTTAATTTTCAAACTATGGTAATGTATTACATATTAAAAATAATCAGATCCAATTGTAAGTGCTTAAAAGTAAATAAGCAAGTGATAAAAATCACATACAAAATCCATTTGATCATTATTGGCAGTACTGTTTTCCTTTTGCCTCTACTTTCTTAAGAAGTAACCCAGCTCATAAAAGAGGAAGCCAAAAAAAAGTGTGTGCACGTGCATATGTGTGTGCACAAGCACACGCATACGTGCACACACACACAACAGTGTACCCAGCTGCTTAAATTCAAAATGACAAGGAAGCCAGGTTTGGTGGTAGCTAGAATGTGGCAAGAAGATATAATAAATCACCTCCTCTATACACATGCAGAATCTAAAACAAACAAAGTAAATGGAGCATGTATACTTTTGTTCATTCATTTTACAAATATTTACTAAGACGTTATTCATTGTTCAAGGTGCTAGGAGATACAGTCATCAATAAAAACAAAGTAGTCTTGGGGCGCCTGGGTGGCTCAGTGGGTTAAGCTGCTGCCTTCGGCTCAGGTCATGATCTCAGAGTCCTGGGATCAAGCCCCGCATCGGGCTCTCTGCTCTCTAGGGGAGCCTGCTTCCTCCTCTCTCTCTGCCTGCCTCTCTGCCTGCTTGTGATCTCTCTGTCAAATAAATAAATAAAATCTTTTAAAAAAAAAAACCAAAAAAACAAAGTAGTCTTAATAACTAAGACTTTCACAAATCTTCCCAAAAGATTTCATAAATGTATGTCAACCTATTGTAATGTTTGCTCTTGAGATGCTCTCCGTGACCCCTGATTCCTGGGTTTGGCTCACTGTGTGCTCCTCTCCTCCTGAATGTGGGCTGGATTCACTGACTCCCATCTAATGAATAGAATATGGCAGAAGTGATGGGACGTCACTCTGGAGATTAGGTTATACTAGGACTTGCTTCTTAGGCACTGTCTCGTGCTCTCTCTGGGGGAAGCCAGCTGCCATTTCATGGCACAGCCCGGTGGAGAGGCCCTCATGGCAAGGAGTTGAAGCCAGCCCACAGGTACATGAGTGAGGTTGGAAGCAGATCTTCCCCCACCAAGCTAGGAGGTGACTGCAGCCCTGGATGGTACTCAGAGCCACAACCATCTGGCCAGGCCACTCCTTAGCCCACAGAAAGTTCGAGAATCTGTGCTCCTTGTTTTCAGCCACTGTGTTTTTGAGGTCATTTGTTATGCGGTAATAGCTGACGAATGCAAGTTCAAGGCCATTGTTACTCAAGCACGCTGGGAGAGGACAGGGGGAGTTACTGCAAGGAAAATTTGAGGGCATCTGTTGTCCCCGTCACAGGGACACTGCCTCTGGGGTCAAGGCAGGCCCAGAAGGGGAGGGAGCGATACGTACACCTAGACTGGCTATGCGGGCCACCAGATGGGGCGAGCAAGACCTCTGCCACAGCCAAAGTTCCGGAAGCACAACACCGATTATAGCGGAAGCACAAAGGAGCACATCTGTGGTTTACTTACTTGTGCAATTAGAGTTTTAAGGGCCAGTAAGCGCCCCTGGGCTGCAGCTTCATGAAGAGGGGATCGGTCAGCCCAACAATCTGAAACACAAATCAAGCACAAAGTCAAGGTCTGGAATCTTCTTCTGGCTGTTCCGTCCTGCAGCCCGCCCACCATGGGAGAGGGGCTGGGGATGACGATGGAAGCTCAGACCACACATCGGGCTCTCTCATCACCTGTTTTCAGGGTAACACACCAGTGAGTGTACAGCCCATTGGTCTAGTGGTGTGTGCAGAGAGGGAGCGCAGAGAAGCTCTCTCACTCTTCGGGGGGCAGTTTTAACAAGCAATAGATTTACTTTGAATACATTTTACCCCGGGCCTGGATCTGATAGCTCCAAATAAGGCAGGTGAGGGGCAAAGCTACTCACTGAGCCTCCCTGTTTTCATCCTGCCCTGCCTCCCACCCTCACCTCTACCCTGAACACTCAACAGCCTGTACCCATGGAGGCTGGATGATCAGGGGAAATGGGTTGGTTCTCAATGCTCAAGGTAACTGTCTCGGTTCATTTTGGTCACAAGGCATATCTATTACCATGATGCAGAATAGGTATGGTTTTTCAGATGACACATCTTCCAAAATTTCCTGTGGACAGCTGAGCGTGATTGCTAAACATGGAGCCTGTGGGGCCACACTGCCTGGGGTCAAATCCGACCTCAACCCCTTTCTGCCAAGAGGGGCAAGTTAACTAAAATTATTTCGACCTCAATTTCGTGATCTCTAAAGTGGCGGGGGGGGGGTCTAGTAATTTGGTATTTAGCAAGTGCTTTGGTCTCTAAGTAGGCCAATAAAACACATCCATAATGTTAGGTACTCAAGCAACTTATGATTAAGTACACATGGTAGGGCGAGTATTTTTTACCCTGTAATCGTTTGTTAGTAAACAAGACTAACCAGCTTCAAGGGGCATTTAAGAAGTAACCCTCTTTAAGCATGCCATAGGGCAATCATTTGTTTGGGACAAACACCTGTTCCAGTTTGTAAAATTTCAAACATAATTGTGTTCTTCATTCACTGGATAGCATGTGACATAATTTGGATTTCACACGAAGGGTCCATCTTATCAGCCTTTTCTAGGGGATCCTGATGGTGCCAAGAATTCGGGTTTTCCTATACCTGCAACCTTGGCAAACACAACCCCACCAAAGATGGGATTATGTAAGTGTGAAATGGCTCGAGGCCACAAGGACACAGTGAACTTCTCCAACAGACGAGAACCAGGGCCATAAACATTTCATTAGGCCCCCTAATATTGCAATTTAATTTTTATCTTCTCTTACCCTTGGGTGAGAAAAGGGTATGAAAAGATGGAAGGCTAGAATGAACTCTACAGGGTTGGATTGAAATTGGACTAGTTAGTACAAAAATGTGATTTTCAACATGTGTGTACTTATGTTTCTATTCATATTATTTTAACAAGGTTTTGGAGAAATGGGTGATTCCAGGGCTGGGCCAGGAAAAATTAAGATGGGCCTCGAACACCTTGCCAGAAATATAGCGAATGATGGGACATGTCAAGAAGACACGGAAGCTGGCTTGCAGGGGCTTCCACTGGTCAAACACGAAATGACCTAAGCATCGAAATAAAAAATAGTAGTAGGAGATCATACCCTATCAAATAAAACAGGAATCTCTAGGTCCTCACTGATATAAATCAATATATAAATAGCCAGGTGGGAGCTCTACCTCACAATAGAACACCTGCTTAGAAATGGAGAAGAAATTGTCGCATCTGACTTGAGTTACTTCCTCACAAAATAATTACTAGTTATAAAGGAAACACGGGCCATTTTATGGGGGAACAAAATTATAGACCCCACTCTACACAGGGGATCAAAGTTAACATCAGAGGTGATGGGACAGATCAGCACAGCGAACCATGGGATGGAATGTGAGGGGCGACCTCATGTACTCTGGAAGGAAATGCAACGAAGAAAACACCATAGCTTGTGCAATATTCCTGCTCGAGATGTATAACCCAAATCCAACCCGAGGACACTGTGAACCAACTGACTGAGGGGTATTTTGAAAAGTAAGTGGCCTGTAACCAGTTCAAGGAGGACTAAGGAAAGACTGCACAGGGCAGAAGGCTGATGAGACAATATTAGGACAGTTGAGTAAATAGGAATGAGGTCTCTAGGCAAAGAGGAGTAGGAATTCTTTGTACCACTCTTGTAACTTTCCTGTCACTTTGAAATTAGTCCCCAAATTAAAAAGAATGTGTGTGTGTGTGTGTGTGTGTGTAAATTGGAATGAACTTATATACAAGTTTACCTATATACACATATAATCACTGATGTTTTCATATTCCTGTTACAAATGGGGGATGTTTTTATAAGAAAAATGGATTAAAATTTTAACATGGAAAAAATCTTGTGCTTGTATTTTCATTTGTTCCTGAGTCCGTTAAAAGCTGATGGAGTATTTTTAAATCTCTTCTGACATTTATAAGTTGCATAAGCTGAGAATGAGATAATGAATGCACATAGTCCTTAATGAGTCAGCCTTGGTTTTCTTCTAATACATCTCCACCGCATTCAACATGATCTGTGTATCAGACACGTTGCCCTCTTGCCTAATCACTCTTGGAAAGGACCACGGGCACTGGAGTTGGAAGGACAGACAGTCTTCATCCACGGATGGCAACTCAGCACCCTGACCAGTGTAAGAAGGAAACCCACAGCCATGGCTTGGTTATTCTTTTGTTCCAAGAAGAGCCAGTCTTGCTATTAGGAAATTAGGATACTAGCATGAATTGGCTTTATTATTTTTAAAACTTACCTCCAGGTAGGCTGTGGTGTCCCCTTTCCTTCTGAGAAGCAGGAACCTTAACCACATCTTCGTCCTATTTCTAGTAACGTCTGTGACTCACCAGTCCCATAAGACCCACTGCTGCTCAAAACCTAATGTTAAGTGAAGGAAACCAGACGCAAAACAGCATGAGCTGTGCCGTCCCTTTCTGTAATGTACAAAAGGGACCCCAACTCACCTGGGGTGTTAGGAGTCAGAAGGCCCCCAAGGAGGGGCGGGGACTGCCTGGAAGAGGAAAAGAGGAAGGGCCGTACCGATTATATGCGGGTTCTGGCTCGTGGGAGCTGACACCTGATCGCAGTCACCTTGTGAAAATTCAGGTAGATGTTCGCTTAGAATTTGTGCCCGTGTCTGTATTTACAAAGTACTTCAGTAAGGAGGTTTTCAAACTAGTCTACAGGTCAGTCCACTTTCAGACTGTCATTTCTGCTCCTCGGCCTTCTCCCAGCCCAGGGCACGGCCCTCTCTGCTGCCCCAGCAGCTGCGGACGGGAGAGCATTCTCATACGTGTCCCAGCCTCCTTCTTCTAGGTGGCAGATCCTCTGGGGCCTGGGGGGAGGGGGTGGCAAAAAGAGAGGGAAGACGTCTCCCTGGGTCCCTGGAAGAGGAGGGGGGTCTCGCGGGCTTGTAGCCTCCACTGCACGTCTCATTCCTGGTCTGCAGGCTCGCCCTTCCTGCCGAGGCTCACTTCCAGGCCCCTTTGCTATGTCTCGGCTTTGGGCCATCTCTCCTAGTGTCCCCTGTCAATGCAGCACACTCGGACACCCCCGACTCCCACGCCACGCCTCTGACGTCATGGGAAGCCTGCCATCTTCCATTGCACCATGACAGCAGGAACAGTGAGCCATCCTGGGCTTGTCTCTCAGCACAGGACTGCTCTCGGATGATCTTTTCCCGCAGGCCAGGCCCAGGGGGCAGCTCAGTAAACTGCCTGACTTCCACCTAGAGAGGGAAATACCAAGCTCCCCTCCTGCCAGAGGCCCCTTATCTCAACTTGGATTTCTTCTGGAGCCCCCGCCCTTGGCCTTCCAGAGAGGAGGGAAGGGAAGAGCCTGGCTTCACGATGGGAAAGACCCCCCAAAAGGCACGCCAACCCATTTGCCCCAGAGGAAGAGATCTCACTTGCAGCAAGTGGCCGGAATAGAACCGAATTCCAAGGTTTTGTGACCGAGGACACCCGTTGCTCTGGTGTTAAGAACCACTGGTTTTAATTCTCGCTTAACCTGAGGCCCATTTATTGGCCCAGGATGCTTAGCTCCGTCCACCATCTCTTGATACACAGCATGAAATGAACCCATTCCTATCACCGGAAGTGCAGAACTCATTTTTGCTTCCCAACTGGAAAAAGGACTCTCAAGGAAATCTCCTTTCCAGTCACATTGTTTTCCAACACTCGCTTCAAAGGACCTTGAGTTTTCACACAAAACCCTTTCCGGCAACTCTGCCATGGTGGGCTCTCCTGTCTTCCTCTTCTCATTCCCAACACACAGTCTCTCACTCTTATCATTCTTGTTTTGCAAATTGGAGCTAACTGTGAGAAATTAAGGATAAAAGTTTTTTGGCAGCTAGGGAGTTTTTCCATTCCTTTCAGGAAATATCAACTAAGCTCTCCAAATAAATGAATGCCTAAGTAGAAATCAGTCATTCTCTTCTTTGGCAGCCTATTTTTAGTCCCTTGGCGGACTGCCTGGGTCACAGGATTGCAAGCACATTAGGAAGATAGTTTACTGAACAAATATGTTTACTTGTTCCTGATGAGGTGTATGGAAAATGTTCAAGTACTTTTTCATTCACCCCTTTGACTTTTTCTCAGAATATGATTTATATCTGTAGTTCTCAGAATCTTTGAATAGCAGTTTCATGACAACTTCTAAAACCACAAATTTCAATCACAAAATTGGTTCCAAAGGAATACAGTTGTCTGAGTGCCAAGTATTCAAGATAAAACCCATTATGACTATTTAAAAAAACATTTTTTTGCAATTCTCTCCTTCCTAATTCCAACAAGTATTTAAGATTACTGGTTTGTTATTTTTAAAGAACCACCTAATGGGTTATCATCTCTGGTGCACATGTAACAATCTTTATTCTCTTTAATCAAGTTCCAAAATCATATGAAGCAATATCTTCTCTTGTAGCATCTATCAAATAAAAAATTTAAAAGGAATCTCAATTCCGAACCAAAATATACACAAGAACCTGGCAGAATTAATGGTATTTCAAGTCAAACAAAGGTAACTGGCAAAAACCCATATTATAACTTCCTGGGATACCTAAAATATTATAATAAAATTGAGTTAAAATGCATACTCTCTAGAATACACGGTTCTAGTCAGGAGACACACCATGGTCAATGAACATCTTTCTGTAGGGTGTTAGAAAGAAGGTGCCCTTGAGCCCATCAGGAGCAGGGGAGCTGAGCTAGAGGTAACAGTGGGTGTTAGAGAGCCCCTGCTGAGGACGGGTTGTCGAAATTTGGAAAGGCCAGGAGACTCCTGTGAGAGGTCACTCTGCAGAGGATGGCTGGGCCAAGGTTTGGGAGGATAACCAGCAAAACTCAACAGGGTAGAAAGCTAAATAAAGGATTAGGCAAGAATGGGCCAAAAGCAGGAAAAACCTGTTGGAAGGGGAAGGACAGGAAAAAGGAGTCAGGATGTTGAGTCAGACAGAGGCGTGGCCATCAAGTCAAGGTGAGTCTTTTCTGAATTTAGAACAAGGACAATTGATTCTAAGCGTTAACACTTTGACTAGAACTAATCTTTTAGATATGGTTTAGCATAAATTCTTTTTTTTTAATTTTTTCTTTTCAAGTTTAGCTTAAATTCTTAAAAAAAAAAACAGAGAGAGAGAGTACAATAGTTCCACAATCTCTTATCTGCAATTGTAAAATCACCCAAATTTTGGAAAACCAAGCTTTTCCTCAAGTTTGATACAATCTCCCTTGGCAGCAAAACATGGTAAGGACTCAGGTTAAGCAATTTATTCTCTTTCATTTGTATTTCCACTTAGTGTCAAATATCAAATATAATTCAGAAATAGAAATACGAAAAAGTCTGCCTACGGGAGTGCTGTGTGATAGACGTTATACACACCGTGAGATCTTTCCAGTATCCCCAAAACTCCTGAATCTTGAACCACATCTGGCCCAAGGGTCGTGAAAACAGATGATCAACCTGTAGCTATTTTTATATTTTTATCAAGTTTGATGACCAAGCCCTGGACTAAAAATAGCTTCAATTCTGGCCAAATTAGCAAAGGCAGAAAAATCATATACCACATCTGTCAGGAGAAAGTGCCTGCAGGGATCTCTAGGGGCTGAAGGTGGGATCCAGTGATTGATCTGGTGCTCAAGCTGCAGTGCCAAGGGCCAATGACAATGTTTTAAACTTAACTACATATGTATATATAATTGGCCAATTACACAAAGAAGCCCCCCAAGATAAAAAAACCAGCCAGCCACAGTTCACCTCAAGTCTGGTAAGTTATCTACAAATGCAGTAGTTTAAGCCACAAAGACATATGGAACCCTTAAGTCCAGAATATGAGAGTCGAAAAAGAAAACTCCACATTTTACAGTCCGAGAAATGACATTTAACGAGGGACATGTTTCTAGGTGTAGCTTCCAAAAGAAAGCGTGCCAGCAGCTATGACAGGCTAAACTCTGTCCTGGCTTAGTTTTTACCTCCCTCCCCTTGTTTTTGACAGCTCTGATGATAGTTTACAGGAACATAATATACTATAGGAATCAAGAAATTTAACCTTGGACTGAGACTTTTCTAAGTCAATTAGCTAAATTACTGATTAAAGGTCACATATTTTCCCAACCGACATTTGCCTTAACCGTGAGCGGTAAAGAGAATTTCAGGTTTGAGCTGAAGACTGGCACAAAATTTTGTTCTTTAATACATTTAGCTTTAAGTATATAGCAACTGACTCCTAACAGTGTCAAAAGAAAAAAAAAAAAACACTTTCTGGCATGCTGCTGCCTACATTCTCATAGAAAGCCTTATTTACCACATCTGGATATACTGTCTATTATACATACGTAGGGGGGGGTGCGTGTGTGCTTTCAGATACACACACAGTCACCCACCCACACATATATGTATACATAGAAAGGAAATTAAACTGAGAAATTGACATGTACTATTCCCCCCCCCCCCCCATCCGCCTCGTTGATGATAATTAAGACACACATTTTTGATTTTATAACGCCATGCTACTTCCAAATTAAGTGGGATATTACCCATTTAATGACCAAATGAGGACATTTGGGTTAAAGAATGAATGAGCTCTACTTAAGAGATCTGTATTATGGCTCCAGACCTAAATCCAAACCATGTTTTTACATGGGTTTTGACTACTATCGAAACTTTTTAAGAGTGTGCTTAATTCAGGATGACGAAGACAGAAACAATGCAGGTGAACAACAGGACAAAATATTCTTAACACGTTCCTGTCAATACTTTGTTGCACTTTACCTCATTTAAACCGTAAGGAGGATCAATCTACGAGAACATCCATACTGTGTGACCAAAACTTTTAGAAAGTCCCTGCCCACATTTACATATGAAATTAGAAAATAGATTTTCAGATCACATGAACTTGAAATGAAAGAGAAACTTTTAAAAAACCAGTCTAAGCAACATACCTCCCTGAAATGTGTGACAAATGTAATCCCCAAAAGAAATCTCCTTCCACATTCCGGGCCTTCTGACACTTCCTGAAACTTCAAGATTCTCCTCATTTCCCCCGGGGAACTGAAGCATTTTGAGGCTTTGTCTTTGGAGGTCTTATTTGGGGGGATGGGGGGGGGATGAGACTGCCGTCATCTAGTGTCTTCAAAGTTGTCTAGTGTATTGGAATCACATTGCACAGGTCTATTTTGAAAGAGAATCCCGGGTGCAAATGGACATGTATACTAGATCAAGAATGACGTCATCCTGGAATCCGTATGAACACTAAGGATAGAGAGGGAAATTGTGAACTCTGTTTACAAATAAATACTCCTCTATCAAGTGACCATCCCAGCAGTGACAGCTATCCAATTCATTTACTTTTGCAGCAATTCACTCCAGTTAAGGTGAATCATTTCTTGAGAGAACAGGAGACTAAATCCTACAGAGCATGAGACTTAAAAATGTTTTTCCCGAATGCTGGCATTTCATATTAGGAAACCTTTGTTTGCAGGGCTTTGCACAGTGCCGTGTATAAACGGGTTTAACGCAGGGTTTTTCCTGACAGCGACGAGTAGCTAATGGATTCGAATTGCAAGTGACAACACAAAAATATATATAGCATGGCACATTTGCTGCTTTAAATCAGATTTCCTGGTCATTCTATTTCCAGAGGAAACTTAGTCTTGTTAGAATGCATTGTTAAAGTTTGCTTAAAAATATTAAAGAAAATAATCCCATGTAAGTCATTCTCTAGGTTAGTAGCAATGAGGTTTCTCCACATACTCTAAGAAAGCCACTAACCTATTTATTTAAATAATAACCCCTAAAAGAACTACAAACTTGCAAAAAATAAAGCTGAGAAATCCTTCAAATTGGTGTAGCCAACATCACTTGCTACTGTAAATAATAATTCTTGAAACTACCCACACAAAGCCAAAGTATAATAAAATCTGCCCTCTAGAAATATTATTCACATGAACTATCCAGGAGAGTTTTTTTCTTTTCTTTTTAAGTTTTAGGAGCAAATCCGGGTATTTTTACCTGAAATTCCACCATAGATCTCTTCTGCTATCCTAGCCGCTTCTTTTCTATTTCCTTTGACGATATAGAAATGAGTCAGGAGAGCCAAACAAACTTTAATTAAAAGTTTGAAGAAAAAAAAGGTAGCAAACATTGTAATAAAAATGTTTTTAAAGCCATAGGAAACAGGACCGTCTTCCATTTTGGCTCACCCTCTGTATAGGTTCTTGGTACTGCAAAATCTCACTGAGTTATAATTGGTATCATATGACATCTATTTTCAACTTTCTAGCCCTTGCTGCTCTTGTTACTGAGAACTCACTCATACATTCTAAGCTCACTGTGATTTGGCGGCTGCAGTGCTGACTTCCATAGCGATGGGAAATGAACTCAAGAAACTTCCTTTTTGACCCGCATTCCTCAGTGCTATTTAACACACAGGATTCCTGGCTGGATCTGTTCTATTCCTAAATCCCAGTTACATGGGAAGGCAGCGTTGGAGAGAGAAAACAAACGGGGGCGGGGCGGGGAGGGGGCGAGGAGTGAGTTATCTGAAGGGGGAAGAATTGGCCCCAGACCATTTCGTTTTCTCTTCCTCCTGAGGTTTTGGGGAGATAATGCCCCAATCTAAACTACGACCAGTTAAGATCATTTACTCTAAGGCAGTATTTAGTAAAGGGCTCATCCTGGATGCTTCTCCAAGTGGTTGTGTCACACTGAAAGCATTAGACCACTTGCTCTAATGGGCTCATCTGTGACAAGGTCTGCTAGCAAAGGCCATTGTTTATTTCCCATTTCAAGTATTAGTAAAGATGGTGCCTCGGACTGGAATATGGGCGCTCTCCTTGACCATGGAAGAGTTACAGCGAAATGAAGAAGATGCCCTATGTTCTGAGTGAATTACCCAAAGATTCTACATATCAATACCTTCCCACATTGGACAGTATTCTCTTACAACCCTAACCCTTCAACATATGTCGGTGGGCCACTACAAGGGAAATCGGCTTGCTGTTCATTTCACTCACCTACAAAAATTAGACGAGGAAAATCCAGGTCTCCTCTTTCATTCTTGGCTATATTAGATTTTCAAACATCTCTACAAACTATTGAAAAAGGCAAACCAAAAAAAATTGCCTAGAGCAGACTAAAGAAATCTTACTTACTAAATGCTTTATGCACAAAATATGGGAGTTTCTTATAGCACTCAGGCAAAGTGGAATGATGACCTCTATGAGAACTGGCTCCCCGTAGTCCGGGGAAATGTTGACGTGCGAGCACACAGCTTTGGGTCCCAGTACATACTGCGTCCATCTCAGTGAATTACAGAACCAGGAAGACCCAGTGCAGTTCCCACTCCCAAGGACTGAGATCAACATACACGGTTTCTTGACCCAGCTTAGTACCGACCACAGGTTGCTACCTACAGAGTGCCAACGTAGGAGAATCCGTGAACACAGGCATCTGTGAACACAAGAACACCACCCTCTAAGAAGCCCGTCCTTTACTCAAGTCAGCCCAGTGACATATTATAGCACGTTAGTCAATCTTGTTTGGGCCTTAATCTTCATTTAAAACATGGCTATACTTTGTGTTGGCCATGAGGAGTTCGGCTCTTTTTTTAAGGTTCAAACGGACATCTATGCTATTTCTGAGAGACCGTCTTTAACTGTGTTTGAGCAGGACATTCAGGATGGGCACAAAATAAGGGGTTAACTCACAGCAGCCTTCAGACGAAACCCTCTGTAGCACCAATATCTCAGCATCAGCACTACTGATATTTGGGACCAGATAATTCTTTGTTTGGCGGGGATCCAAAAGCATTGTAGGATATCCAGCAGCAGCTCTGCCCTCTGCCCACTTGATGCCAACACCCCCACTCCTACCCAGGGCTATCAACTAGAGATGTCTCCAGACACTGCCAGGTGTCCCCTACGGGGCAAAATCGCCACCCCCCTTCTCCCCTATCCCCCTACCCACATTCAGTTAAGAACCACTGAGCCGTAGCCAAACATAAAGGATAAAGGAAAATCAACTCCCCGAAGTACTAGTGAATACAAATTAAATTTTGTGCAGAACTTCAATTTTTAGAATTTCATATTTAAAAAAGCCCAGCCACAGGATGATACAATTTAACATCTCACCATATTCTTTCGGGAATGTGGAGGAGGAGAAAGAGGACTTTAAAAAACCCTGTGCTAAAGTAAACACAGACCTATGATACCCCAACTTGGCCAAAAATAAGTTTTGGTGCAAGATAAATCAGAAAATACCAGCGTAGAGGACTGCTCTCCACTGCTTCCAACAAAAGGGGTGGGAGAAGCTGCGCTCCTGTAAGTGAAATCAAAATTCAAATTCCTCTTAAAATAGCTTACAAGATAGAAAGCATAATTACGTAGTTCGCATATACAACAGCTTCTAGATGTATTTGCTTGGCTCATGCGACAATTCCAGTGCAGGGAACAACAGGGCTTGTGTGGATCAGGAAACAAAGGCATAATTCAACGTGTTATTCCATGAGTAAAGAGAGACAATGTACTCTAGAGAGAAAAGATGACAGAGTAATTCATCATCTGAAGGACGGTTCCTGTTTAACTAACAGACCAAGCAACATGTCTAATCACAGTGAAAGAGCACGCATAAGAGGGAGGGGGTGCGGGGGCACTGTTAAACGAAGAAATCATATTCTCTTCATAAAACAAGACAAACTCAGAAAATTGTCAAAATGCCATTTTGGTCTTTATTTTTTGGACATGTAGCGTGTTTTCATAAATCAGTTTCATATGTGCTAGTTTTTGTAATATTGAGAGAAATACAGTATTATTTTTCATAAATTCCTCGTCACTGCAAGTTCACTTTCAAATTAATGGAAGTAGCAGGGTCGAACAATATGTTTGCGCATACTGACCAGTGCAACACCGACAGTTACAATTAAGGTATCCAGGAAGCCTGAAAATTAAGATTTACTAGAACAAGCAAATTTACCTCCATTTGTTAAAACCAAAGGAACTAATTTTGATTTGCAAATTACATATTTTACATGCAAATAGTTTAAATCCCATTTCCATCTGAAATAAATGGCCATCTTGAAAATATGCTGAGAAACAAAAATATAAGAACCAATGGTAATATGCCCTTAAAAACTGCTGGAGAGAATAAATAAAAACACAGGTTACTGTTTCTTGCTTTTTCGTGATTATTGGCACTGTTTATTTCATATTTATATAAATCAATTTCTGTGCAAAAAAATCCCTAAGATTTTAATGGTTTGGGTCAGCCCATTTTTCTTTAACAAAAGATCGCTCAACTTGCAGGTTTTAAAAATAACATTGCATTTGTGTTTTAGCACAAAACAAAAATCGTATTTTTTATGTATCAGTGGCAACCGGTTAAGAGGCATGTTAGGATACTTTTTAAAAAAGATTTGTGAGTGTTGTCGTTAAAAAAAAAAAAAAAAAGAAACCAATTCTGTACAGAATCCCAATACTGCCAGCATCTTCCGAGTGCGCCACGAGCGCCTCTTTCTTTTGACTTCACAGTCCTTTATCACAAAAATGTATTCTAAGGAGTTCAAGGAGTTAATAAGACACACCATGTGGATAATTTGGGGTTTAAAAACCCATGGCTCTGGGCAACAACGATTACAGTTAACAACAGACAACCACAAAGAGACTGTGTTTCTACAATTTTCAGACTCAATTTGCTATAAATAAAACATTCTGGGGTGAAGACTTCTGCACACTGACAATACTTCTCAGACATCAGCTAGGCCACAAGTGAAGGGAAGTGACTTCTATCAAAGGTCGAGGAGGGTTAACAGCTGAGTTGGAGATGGCACACCTCATCCATTCTGCTCGGAAAATACGAAGGCATTTACAGAGGACTCAATTATGCCTGGGAAGACTTGGAGGGTTTCTCTGTACTATCGTCAACAGTGATATCGGTCCCTAGTATTTCAGAAGCAAAAAGGTTTTTCATAAACACAAATTAAGACGAAGGCTCTACCTAGGAGAATGCATATGACCAGATTGAAGAAATCGGAGTCTGCCGACCATTTTTTTTCCCCTGGCATTGGAAGCCTGAGTGTTTTTGGCATGTTACACAGTTTACCATTTTGTTAACTGTGACTATGGTGAAGTGAGCCACCCAAGCGATACACAAAGAACATCTGAATGCGCCCCTGGTCCATAATAGCAGGATGTGTCTAGTTCATTTTTCTACACACAGTAGGTGCTTAAAACATGCTCATAACTGATGGACCATTTTGCTCAAGAATCCCGCTGACGGTCTGTAACACTTACTGAGCGCACCAAACGAATGTCTAAGAACATGACTTCAATGACTAAAATGTTTATGAAGAGGACTCAAAAATAGTTCATATCGTTGTTGTACTTCCCGAAAGAAAACCTGTAAACATCTGGTGAATGTCTAATTAATGGTAGAACATTTAAAATTGGCCAAAAAATGCCCAGAAAACATTTGGCCCTTCAGCACCCAAAAGCTCCCAAAATATAATTTTAAAACATCTCTGTTAGAGGGACTTCAGTAGTCTGAAAAATTTCATACCTGAGTGGCTTCAATGTTCTCTCCTAAATCTTAAGTAAGTGCAAGGAGTTTCTACACTCAGGAATTGCATAAGTTTTTATCTTTCCTCAAAATAAAACATTGAATGATATAGAGGTAGCATAACTTACTAAATTAACGTTAAAAAAAAGCAAGAAAAAAGGAAGGTTATTTTCAATCATCTTACTAGAACTATTACAAACGTGTAAAACCTTACAATCCAGGCTTTCTTCTACCTGGGTTTAGACATCTCATTATTCTCGCCCCCTTTTTTACTGTAAGGATATTGATGAGTCCAGGAGCCCTTGGGCCCTGTGGCATCTATTGCAACATCGATGATAGAATCTGGAGTCATCCATCTCAGGAAAAGGAGGAAGAGAAAGTTGAATACAGCCAACAAAGCAAAAATGCAGCCTGTTACTGGGCCACAGTGAGAGATGAGTCTGTCCAGTCGTTTGTCCATCAGTAACACAGCTTCTCCTGCCACGTGGTCGTACACCTGGCGGGAGAGAGGCCGAGAGTGAGCGCTCTGACCCACAAGAAACGACGACCTGCACAGACCAGGAATGTGTTATAGATGCAAACGGGAGGCGCTTGCATTTCATCGTCGTTGTTATAGTAAGGATGTGATTAATGAAACTAAAGTAATTACTGCCATGTGATTCCACACTTACGGAGTGCTGCTTCTGGACAAAACACGGGGCTAGACACTGC